CTCAAGAGTGCGAGCTCTGAGCAACAGGGTTACTGGTTCAATTCCTGGCTTGAGCTGAGCTGCCGCTGAGCTGCCAACAGTTGGCAGGATGGCTCAGCTAAAAAAAAAATGAATGTGGAGTAACAAATATTTTTGGGGGCCTTAATTACCCAGAATGCATTTAAGTTACATACGCAGTTTATTAATAAGTAATGATTACCTCAAATCAAAGCAGTATTACTTTTAAATTAGGCCATAACCTATAAGTCTTGATTGTTCTCTTGGTTTTTCAATTTTTTGACATAGAAAAGAGCACTTAAGCTGCAGCAGAAGAGGCAGAAAGAAGAGCTGGAAAGGGAGCAGCAACGAGAGAAGGAATTTGAAAGAGAAAAGCAGTTAACAGCCAAACCAGCCAAAAGGACTTGAAAAGTTGAATGTGTGTGTGTGTTTCCTTCCCCCACCCCATATTCTTTAGATTTAAGATGACCTAAGTGTAGACTGAAGATAAGGTAGTGCCTTACACCATTGTGTTCTGTTTTGAAATCCTTCCCCCAGGAATGCTATCTCTGTATCTTCATTTTAGCCATTCCAGAGGCTTTTGTTTTTTTGAGTAAAAGACTTTAACGTCACTTGGTTTGGATAGTATTTATATGTAATTTTTCAACTTATGTTTGGCTTAATTTTAAAATGCATCATTTTGGCCATGAATCATTTATAAACCGGTAAATGGTCTGATTGTTTTAATAGTCTAGACTAAGTGCTTAGAAATTAGTATGAGTTTTTTAGATTCTTAAGTGTGGATGTAAAACTTTCAGTTTCTTATTTTATGAAACGATTTGCCTTTCTGGCAGTACAATGCTGGTTTCTGGCAGTTGCTTTTTCATTGCTTGGTTAAAAAGAAATGCCAACTGTTTAATCATATATGCCACTGGAAAAGAGGTGGTATAAGCAATCCTTTGTGAAGAACATGACAGAAAACTGTGTTCACAGGGAATAGTAGCATCTTAGACATTGGATTGGGTGAGCAAGATGCCAGATAGATTCCACTAACCATACACTCTGTTTTCTTCCTAGCATTGTCGTTGCTATTTAGTTCTTATGTAGCTTCTGGGTTCAAAGTAGATTATATCTGTTACTAAAGCTTGGCATATTATATACCGTAATTTGCTTATTTATAATACCTAGTAAGATTCGTCACACACTGAGATATAGTTGTCAAGTTGGTAAGATAGTGAGCCCACCTTTCCAGATGGGAGATCTAACCACTAGTTCTGTCTATCCTCTGATGCTGCGTGGCCTTACATGTGGTTATTTTTTCTGTGCTTTTAAAAAATTCTTAAAGTAGAATGGTATATTGTACCAACTTTCCATTTTATAGATAATGACAAGAATTGTGGAAAATTAGTAAGTGGCTTCTTCACAAAAGAGGAAGCATGATATCTTTAGTGTTTTCTAGACCACCCCCCTCCCCTCCCCGATATCATAAGGAGAAACTTATGTGAGGGAAATTATATAGTTTTATTGTTTAAAATTGAGAGTATATTATTCACTATTTTAATATTATTTAATATCCAACTAGCCTCCAATCTGTTACATAGAGACTATATAAATAGAACCTGTAACAGTGTTGATTAGAATGTATATCTTTTATAATCTATATTACATTTTAGGTAAGCTGGAGTTACTACCTCTGATCACATATCACGCTGATTAATGATGGAGAAGGCTTTAGATTTGAGTGCTAAGAACTAGTCTGTTTAAAGGTTTAAATAGTTTGTTTGAAAGCCTTTCTCTTCTTTAGAATGAATGAATTATGATCTCTCAATTCACTTGACTTTGACCTTGTATTTAAGAATATATTCTATTTTAAAAGGCCACGTGTTGCCCTCAAATACCAGCTAAAATTGCCTAGGGCAGGATTCATTAGCGATTGTGGGACAACATCACCTGAATTGCTGCGACTCTTTTATAACCAAACCTACAAAGGCTGTGCATTGTTTCTTAGAGTGGTTTGTGGACCAGCTGCAATGATTATTTAACAGCTGGTTCTTGGGCACTACTCTCAATCTACTGAGGTAAATATGTTTGTTTTGCCTCTTTTAAAAAAAGTTTCCCCAAGTAATTCTGATGCACCTTAAAGGTTGAGAACCACTGGTCTAGTGGTCTGGGTCAGAGGATCCCACGCTAGGCTGCATATCATTATCACCTGGGAACTTAAAAAACACAACCACCAGACATTCAGGAAGATTCTTACTCATTAGTTCTGATGTGGTGCTCATGCAGATTTTAAAGAGCTCCCCAGATAATTCTGATGTAAGGAACTACTACTGGTCCAGCTACCTAGTGATTTATATTAAAAGAAGTAAAATAGTTTAAAGGCCACCCAGTAACTCTTGGGATTAATCTTATGAAATAAGTTCTGGACTGCTTTTTTGATATAAAGTCAGTTTTAAGACTGAAATAGATAGCATGCAGGAAAGATACAAAGATTCTAGTTAATTCATTGAACTTCTGTGACCTGTATTAAAATAAATCATGTTTATTGAATAAATGGCAAGGCACATATACTTTTGAATTGTATTATTTAAGTTTTGAGGATTTTTAAAATGTTAAGAATATATATGAGCATTCACTATTTTTAGGTAAATTGTAAATAAGAAGTAGTTACTTTGGTAATTAAAATCTGAAACTTTAGCTGTATTTCAATAGCATAGAAACATATCTTACTGATGAAATCTGAACAGAACCCTTACAATTAGTTTTACTGTATTTTTGCACAAAATAATGACTTGGTACTAGGGCTGAAAACTTGCCTTTGGTTTTTTGTTTGAAAAAAAATTGCCTTTATTTTGAAACTGTCACACATGTACTGAACTAAAATGGGTTAATTTTGTATTTACTTGGTAGGAGGTATCATGTGGCTATGCAGATATGGACTGTAACAAGGATTGTGTCCTCAGTTATTGGGTGGATACAGCTTGTCTGATTTGTCTGATTTGGAGCTTGTACAATGAGGACTACTTTTCTACGCATTTAATTAAAAGCCTCTGAATTATCCAAAGTTATTGACCAAGCACTATTTTGTATATAGCACTGTATACTTCCCTTATGGACATTATTTCAAACACTCTACTCCTTTGCTTTCCTCTCCTACCACCTTCCTTCTAATATTCTTTGTAGATTGTGTCACAGAATGGCTGGTCCACTCATGAATTTTTTCAGAAAAGTAATAGAAGATGTTGTGAAAAGATTCTAGTTGACATAACCCAAATTCATAAAGTTGTTCACTATTTGAGAATTCAGATAATAGCTACACTTTTAGTGGTTTGATAGAAAGTGTTTCATCAGGATCCCTGTATATTTAGCCTAAAATAATGGAAGTTTATAACTAAAAATATTTTCGGTGAGGTTTGTTATTTTTGTAACCTGGGAGTCCTTGGACTCCTGGGAGAGGTGACCTTTGGAGGAGACATGACCTCTCATAAATTTCTCAAGAATTTTATATATTTGTGTTTCCCAGGATTGAGTCTATAGATTTCATTAGATTCTTTATATGTTTATATATAAATACCTCGAAAGCAATGACTCTTAATTATGAAAACTCCAAACTTGACTGTATACATATTTTAAAAAGTTAGTTTCTAGGTTTTCCTTTTGGATGAAGGTAGTTCCTATATTATATATTTGTTCAGATATTATTTTTGTACAGAGTAATCAGATATTGAAGATTTGTTCTGTTGCTAGCTTACTCATATGTTTTAGCTCTTTTGCATGTGTAAAGCCAGATGCCATGTAGCATTTGGGTGAGACTAGATTTATTTTCAAAGCCATTAAGAGAGTGAAGGAAGTAGCCAAGGGGACAGTTATGACTAGTTTAAAAAGCACTGAAAGCACAAATTCCAAAGAAATATAATGTGAAGGAAGGGCAGTCAACGAGAAGATAGGTAAACTTTGGGGTGGGGTGGGGGTGGTAACCAACAAAGACAAAAGGAAAGGCCAAGACTGAAGTAGAAGCGTAATGTATCGTGTGTATCCCGGATAAGGGAGGTTTAAAGGCATGTGAAGAATAATAAACGAATAAAATTCACCTGTTGTAGGATAAGGTCGCCCTCTACTGTCACTTCATTCTGGTTTAGGTCATGAGTATATTCCTACTGTGCTTCAGGCCTGAAATGCTCAAATCCGGATAAAGATGGGGCTGAAAATCACTCTGGGCACCGGGGAGTGCCGCTCACGCCTATATGAGGCTTGATTTCTATTAGAACTTTTGAAAAGACAGTCAAAAGTGTATTGAACACTTTGTGCAAGGGAATACTAAGCAACAAAAACACATAGACCTGAAGTTTTCTGGCCTCTGCTTTGATAGTAGAACTTAAAATTTGTCTAGTATAGAGAGCCTTAGTAACATAGTGGTTAGGATTGTGGACTCTAAGACTGCTCGATCCATGCTTGATTTGGGGCCTTGGACCCAAAAGGGACCCTGTGTACTTTAGTTTCCTAAACTGCAAAGTTGGGATAAATGTTTCTGGATAAGTGTTTCATAAGGTTTTGAGGTGTTATGCTACCCATACAAAAGCCCTTAACAAAATATAAGAGCTCAGGAAATATTGGATGTTGTATCACAGTATCTTGAAGTCACATCCACATGGGGTGGTGGTGCTTATTTTGCCTCTATTTACATTTTTTGATCACAGGGTTTTCACTGCTTAGGATCCTTCATTCTGTAATGTCTGCCTATTGGACACCTACTTATTCTTTGCAACTCAATTGTAATTTCTTCATGGTTTTTCAAACCACCTTCCAAAGAATTTCTTTTTTCATGTGGTCTCATAGTACCAAATAATACATTTGCCTTAGCATTTACAGTATTAGTTATGTGTTCACATGTGTCTCAAGATCAAGGGTATATCTTATTATTCCATGATGCGGTAGTAACTGGCCTATAGTTGATGTATTAATCAGGGTTTTCCAGAGAAACAGAATCAATGGGATATGTGTGTGTATACCTCAATCAATCTCATATACATATGAGAGAGAGAGAGAGAGAGAGAGAGAGAGAGAGAGAGAGAGAGAAAGGGAGAGATTGACTGATTTTAAGCAGTTGGCTTACATGGTTGTGGGGGCCGACAATTGCAAAACCTTCAGGGCAGGCTGGCAGGCTGGAGACCCAGGGAAGAGGTGATGTTGCAGTCGAGGCAGAATTTCCTCTTTCTCAGGGGACCTCAGTCTTTTCCTCTTTAAGGCTTTCAACTGATTGAGTCTACCCACATTATGGAGGGTTAGAGGATAATCTTTACTGAAAGTCTACTGATTTAAATGTTAGTCTCACCTAAAAAAATACCTTCACAGAAACATCTAGAGTGGTATTTGACCAAATATTAGGTACCATGGTCTAGCCAAGTTGCCACATAAAATTAACCATCACAGTTAAGGTCAAATTGAATCTAGTAGGAGAGGGATGCACAGATATTAAAAATAGCCATAATAAAAAACTGGATCACATAAATGCCAAATAAGGAATATTACCATAAAAAGATTAAATTCCTGCAATTCACATGTGTCTTGGGAGCTTGTAATCCTTGGATAATCCAAGACACTGCTTCCATGCCTAATTACATATTCAGTTAGACTAAAAAACTAATGATAGATAGTTCAGCGATAGTGAATGTACTGGACTGTAGAAAAATAGATGCCACATCTGCTGTTTAGATTTATACCTGCTTTCAACTAGGCACTGTTCAGTTCTCTTAAAAATACAATAACAGGAAGAGGTGGCAGTTTTAGAGCAGGCTCAGCAAGCCAGCACGTTTTAGATTTACAGCCTGATAAAGCACAGTTGGACAATGCTGCCATCTTGTGGTACTGTGCTCACCTAGTTGTACAGATTCTCGTGGTGTCTCAATCGGCTTGAAGTTTGGCCTAAGCATTTTCAACTATTACAGTTTTTTAGGTAAGTCGGGATTTTCTGTGTGTTCCGAACTTTTGTTTAAACAGTCAGATGTTTCAGAGTGATCTGTGTGGAACATTTGATAAGGTTTAAAACTACATTTTCCCGATTTCATTTCCTCGAGGGTAAACGTGCAGACAGGAGGAGATCCCTAAGACTCTCCCAGCATTAACATTTGAGACACCTTGTGTCCCATGCCTCTCCAGGAGTGTTGGCTGTGGGCTCTTGTTTTCACTTAATAATGACACCGGTCCATCTGCCCTACAGTGGCAGCACCCAGGCAGATGCACTCATCTCAGATGAGATGTTTCTGGCCTTTAACTGCCTCACACCCTGGGCCTCAGATGAGTTTACTCTGTGTGAAGTTACCCTCTCAGAATACGGGAGCAGGGAGGAGATTGCTTCTAAAGGAGGGCAGATGCTCCTTTCCAGTCTGGATTGAAAGTATAATGTCAGGGAGAGAGGAGGTGAGGTACATGAGTCACCTTGTCCATCTGCAGTCCGCCCTGGAGCCCTCTTATCCCACTGACTCACCCCCCAGCCAGGAGTGGTGTCATGCTGAGCAGCAGCTTGTGCTACCTTACAGGTCAGACCTGTCATTCAAGATGCAGACTGGGATGTAAAGCAGGCTGTGTCACACCCACCCCAGTCTTTGTTTGGGGCGTCTACCATGGCCATGAGAATATGCCTCACATCTCTGTAGGGACCGTAACTCACCAATGGCTCAGCTGTGATGCTCGGAGATCTGTCTGCATTCGCACTGAAGCAAGCTTCCTACAGGCTGCTCCTAGCCAATGGTCCACTCCTGGGAGACATGGGACTTCTCCAGTGGGTGACTTTGGCTCAAGGACTCCCCATGGGCTTCACTGAAGCTCTGCTCGGCAGTTTAGGATCCCTTCCTCCCTCCCTCTCTTCCTTGTTATCCCAGCAGATAGTACTGGAAGGAATAAAGAGGCTGAGGGAAGAAGGCATGCTGGAAGGACTCTATTATGTAAGGCCAGAGACCCACCACAGAATACATCCCATGACGGCACAGAGGACACACCATTCACCAAGCCATCCACATTCACTGGTGAGGGATATCAGCTAAGGCCAGGGATGATGAAAGGAGAGGTGGTTACAAATTGAGCTTGTTAGCATCTGTGGGGATGATAGAGGCCAGGAGGTGGCTCTCAACTGCCAGAAGCCAAGAGGCCATAATTACCTTCCCAAAAGGCAAGGTTGAAGGACAGTCACGATGGGCTTTACCAGTAAGAAGTTATGGAGATGGCTAATGGTGTCAATTTTGCACCTGGGGGCAAAACAGGCAGACAGTTGTTGGCAAGGCTGCTCCTTAGCATCTATATACAGGGGTCAGGAAACTTTTAAGGTAAAGAGCTAGATAGTAAATTGAAAAAGGGCTGGATGGTAAGTGAAATGGCCTGTTTCTCACTCCTCATAGGGCTATTATTTCCCATCCTCTGAAGTGCATGCACCTTACCGAGACCTGTAGCATACCAGCCCCCTCTTGCTTGTCCTGTCCAATCAGCTTGAAATCAGTAATGGATTGGTGTGATACTCTCTTGGATATCTAAGAAGTCCAGCTCTCTCAGGTTGCATTATAGGAGGTAGGAGAGTTAACAAAACCCTGAGGCAAACTGTAAATGAGTATTGTCTATTTTTCCTGACCATAGAGCCTCAGCCAGCATTTCTATCTGGAGGCTTAAAGAATGTCTGATCCACTGGTGTGAAGTCGCACATAGCAGAGCATCCAACCAGGGATCTATTTCAAGTAGAGGTGTAGGAGTGGGCGGTGACCCTGGGACCCCCTGGCTGTGTCAGGTATTGTGCCATCTGGAGTAAGAGCCGGTGAATTGGATGGGGCTCCTTGGTAGATGACGGTTGGCTCTGTCAGTGTTGTTGGTTCCTTTAAGATACTTCTTCCCACACCTGCCAGAGTACCAGCAGCGAGCCCCATCATCCCCAGTCTCTGTTCCTTTGGTACTTGGTCATGGTTACTTATTAGTCCCCTTAATAAAGTGATGTGTAATGTGACAAACTGTCTCTCCAAGAAAAATAGAAACCCATTGAAGGCAGGAACGGTGTCTTCTCCATCTTCTTGTCCCTAAGGCTTA